TTTATTTATTTTTTTTTTAATTTTTTTTTTTTTTTTTCATTTTTTTTTTTTTTTAAATTTTTTTTTTTTTTTATTTTTTGTTTTTTATTTTATTTTGTTATTATTTTATTTTTTTTTTTATTTTTTTTTTTTTTTTTATTTTTTTTTTTTTAGGGATATTTTTGGCACCTGGGCATAAGTCCATCCGTGAGACGTTTCATGCGCTTTTCTAGCAATTTTCACGTGACTCAAACTTTTAGTGGTCCGATTCCCCTTTTCATTGGAGGCCTTTTTTAACAACATTTGACTCAGCCATTTAAGTGGTTAGCACGTCACATGACAGGGCAGGCGTGTCAGCGGCGAATGTTTTTGGAAGCGCACAGTGCGCAGATGTGGCCAAACTTCTGCAGAGTCAATTTTGCTAAAGACCTCCAAACTTGGTGTGGCCCTCAGATGAGCCCAACATACAGTGTGTAGAGAGCTTCATGGAATTTGGTTTTCCATGGACGAGCAGCTGCATCCAAGCCTTCCATCACCAAGTGCAATGCAAAGCGTCGGATGCCGATGTGTGTAAAGCGACGCAACGGCACTGGACTCTAGAGCAGTGGAGGTGTTCTCTGGAGTGACCAATCACGCTTTCTCTTGTCTGGCTCAATCTTGATGGACATTTGTTTTTTTGTCTGGGTTTGGTGGTGTGCCAGGAGAACGGTTATTTTGCCTGACTGCATTTTGCCAAGTGTAAGGTTTTGGTGGAGGGGGGGATTATGGTGTGGGGTTGTTTTTCAGGGTTTGAGGCTTGGCCCCCATAGTTCCGAGTGAAGGGAACCTTTAAGGCGGGGGGGGGGACATTTTGGACAATTTTTTGCACCCAACTTTGTGGGATAGGAGTTTGGGGATGGCCCCTTTTCCTGTTCCAACAATGACTGCGCACAATGTTGCACAAAGGCAAGGTCCATAAAGGACATTGGGAGGAGCCATTTGGGTGGAGGAACTTGACTGGTCCTGCACTGAGTTTGGACCTCAACCCCAATTGGAACTCCTTTAGTGAAATGAATTAAGAGTGGAGTACTGCGTAGCAGGGCCTCCTCCCCCGTACATCTGTGCCTGACCTGACAAATGTGCTTCTGGAAGTATGGTTCAACCTTCCCATTTGACACCCTCCTAAACCTTTTGTGGTCGGCCTTCCCAGAAGAGTTTTTTTTTTGTTTTTTTTTGTTTTTTTTTTGTTTTTTCAATATTTTTTTTTTGGGACTTTTTTTTTTTTTTTTTTTTTGTTTTTTTTTTTTTTTTTTTTTTTTTTTTTATTATTTTTATTTTTTTTTTTTTTTTTTGGGAGGCCATTAAAGGTCCATGTTGTGGGGAAAAAGGGCGGGGGCCAACTCAATAGGTTGAACCCTACGGACCTAAGGACTCGGGGGGGCCCATTAAAGGTCCATGTGCGTGGAAATGCCGGGCCGAACCAAATACCTTTGACAATATAGTGTGTACAACGTTGTTCCAAAGTTATTATGCAAACTCTATTTAAGCTGTTCACACAAAGTTGAAATGTTTTTGTTTTCTCAGTGGTAAAACTTTTTTTGGATGGGCATTTGTGTGTCAGGGCTCTTTTGTTCACTGTAAACGACTCTGGAACACCTGTGATAATTAGATTGGAAGGTGAGAGAAAGGGGGAGAAAAAACCCAAATTAAGGAAAAACTACTAAAGGGACGGCGTTCCACATTAATTAAGCAGAGTGCCATTTTCAAGGCAATTTGTGGAAGAAAAAAGGATCTCTCTGATGCTGGAAAAGAGTGAAATAGTTCGATGCCTTGTTGGACGAGGAAATGAAAACATTCGATTTTTTCATCACATCCAAAAACTTAAGCGAGATCATCGCACTATGAAGAGATTTGTGGCTGATTCAGAGCACAGAACGTGGTTGGTGCAGAATAAAGGCACTATTGAGGAAGATTTTCTGCCAGATCCATGCATCGGATCAAAGAGAGCAGCTGCTAAAATCCCATTTACAGAGCAGCAAACAGATATTTTGAGGCTGCCTGGTGCCTCTGGAGTCCCACGGGACATCAAGGATGTAAAGGGGGGGGAGTCCTCCAGGTCCTGCAACTGTGCATAAACCTTCTATTTCGGCACCACTAACCAATGCTCTACAAGCAGAAACGGCTGCATTGGGCAAGTAAAAATACATGAAGACTCATTTTCAAACAGTCCGATGATTCACTGATTTGTGATGTCCGTGCAACCCTGGACGGTTCCAGATGGATGGAGAGTAGTGGTGCGTTGCTGGAGGCCCACCCTTATTCCACAAACAGCTTTCACGTCATGCAAGGCGGTTGTGGAATCATTTTTTTGGGCCGGAATCATGGGATCAGAGGCACGGTCGGCCCCTTTAGAGCCCCCCGAAGGTGTAGTAAAGATGACCTCTGCAAAGTATTTGGAGTTTTATGACTGACCATTTCTTCCCTGGTACAGAGCAGGAAAGAACTATGCTTTCTTGTAATAAAATCATCTTCATGCATGACAATCGCAACCATCTCAAGCTGCAAAAAGAATACCTCTGCATCAATAGTGCTGCTTATGGGGATTTTAAATGGAGAGAAAGTCATGGTGTGGCCCCATCCATCCTCCCCTGACCTCATATCCTATTGAGAACCTTTGGAGCATCCTCAAGCATTAGATCTATTTGAGGGTGGGAGGCAGTTTACATCCAAACAGCAGCTCATGGGAGGCTATTCTGACTTCTTTTGCAATACATAATTCAAGAAGAAAACTGACCAAAAACTCCCAAGTTTCAATGGATTGCATTTTTTACTTGTGATCTGCTTTTCAGATAAGGAAGCTTTCCTATGTTACAATAGTAACTGTGACCGCATTCAAATGTTTACAAAGTTTACAATGTTTTTAAAATGTTTGATTGAAATAGCTTTTGAATTTCATTAAATATGCTGCAATCAACAACCAAATGACATTTTCAGTTCTTTAACAACCTATAAAGTGTTTTGAAAACTTCCTGTGCGGCAATAATTTGGAACAAATTTCCTGTTATCATTACGGAAGGTTTGTTCAATAAAATGTGATAATTTTTTTTTTTTTTAACTCTTTTTAGTTGTAACCTGAGAATTATGCCGAAATGTTAATTTACATCAATTATTGAGGGCAAATGAGAAAAATATGAATTTGCATCATAATTTTTTAAACACGGGTGTGTATATTATAATATTTTTGATTTTATTTTATTCGTTTTTTATTTTGTTTTTTTACTGTTCCTTCTTCCTTATGCAGTTTTTAATGTTTTATGTAAATAATGTAAATTATTTTTATATATTTTTTTATATATATATATTATATTTTTTTTTTAAAAAAATAAAAAAATAAAATTGGATCCAAACGTTCTCTGTTGTCCAGGGGGCCTCCAATACAGCAGTTCTATGACCTGACAAAGCTGAAGAAAAGGTAGTTCGTGAAAGTGATGATCTCTTCGGGATTCTTCCACTGATTGTATCCTCCTCCTTCCTCTCGAAGTCGAAGACTTCACTTTCACGAACTTCACTTTTCTTCAGCTCTGTCGGGTCCTATTAGTAACTGCTGTATCGGGGGCTGTCCCCTGGACAACCCACAGTTATTACGTTTTGTATCACTTTACCTTTCCATTGAGATTGGTAACCTCTCATGAGCAGGATCCTCCTGACCTTCTTGTGTTGAACCGTATTGTAACTGTTGTCATGGTCATGGGTCAGGCTCAGAGACTAGTATCTATAGCAGGCTCTCCCCGACCAGCAGGATAGGTATAAAAGCAAGTCACCGGACGAGGCAGGCTCCTCCGGGTCCGGGTCTAAGTACTAACTAGTATTCACCAGAATACTCCACCTAGTGATGGTGGAGATGGGTTTTGCAGCATGTTAGTACCAGGTCGTGGTCCTCAGGATTGCCCCATCAGGAGGTGAGCAAGCTGGGGTCCTGTTGCAGATTTAGCAGGTAGGTATCAAGCAGAAGTGTAGTCAGTTAAACAAGGCAACGGTTGGTAACAGGTAGTTGCAGGTTGGGATCAAGCAGAAGCGTAGTCAAGGAACAAACCAAAGGTCTGTACCAAGTGGCAGTGAAGATAGAGACAGCAGAAGGAGTAACAAGAGTGAGATATTGCCTGGAGAGAGAACAATAATCCGGCAAAGAGTATGTCCTAAATGGGAAGTTCATGGGAGGAGCAAAAAGGTTCAAGGGAACCAAGGTTCAAGACAGGATCATTCAAGGAATCGTCTAGCATCCCAGTAGGCTCAGCAAGAAGATACATTGCCAGACACAGCAGAGGTTGCAGGTTCAGACCCGGGTCCTGTTTCCCTCGATATTGTAAAGCACTGCACACGAACGAACGACAAAAGATAGCAGGACTGACCCCAAAAAATACTTCAAATATATTAATAGTAGAAAGGTTCGGTCCCAGCATGTAGGCCCTTTACAGAACCAGCTAGAGGGGGTGACTGGGGACAAAGAGAAGGCCAATGTATGAAATCCCTTCTTCAGCTCTGTGTATACAAAAGAGCATGGGAGAGCTCTTGTCCATAATGGGGGGTGGTACTGACACCCCCAGATGATCCACATTGGCTCACAACTGATAGGATCCAGAAATATTTAGACAGAATAAAGGTGAATAAAGCTCCTGGACCGGATGGCATACACCCACGGGGCCTTAAATAATTATATTGAGTTCTGTCATTTCACACCCATTGTTTCTCATTTTTAGGGACTCTTTAATGACTGGCATAGTACCCCTGGACTGGCATCAGGCCAATGTGGGGCCAATATTTAAAAAAGGGGTCAAAAATCTTTCCCAAGTAATCATAGACCTGTTACTGTAACTTCTATAGTTGGGAAGATACTGGAGAGTTTAATAAAAGACCACAGAGAGGAGTTCTTGCTGGAAGAAAATATTTTAAGCAACAGACAGCATGGAGTCATGAAAGACAGAAGTTGTCAAACAAATCTGATTTCTTTTTATGAGGTATGGTATTCTTGGACAGAGGGGTGGCTGTGGACGTGGTATACTTGGACAGAGGGGTGGCGGTGCACGTGGTATTCTTGGACAGAGGGGGTGGCGGTAGATGTAGTATACTTGGACAGAGGGCTGGCGGTGGATGTGGTACACTTGGACAGAGGGGTGGCTGTGGACATGATACACTTGGACAGAGGGGTGGCTGTGGATGGGGTATACTTGGACAGAGGGGTGGCGGTGGACGTGGTATACTTGGACAGAGGAGTGGCGGTGAACGGGGTATACTTGGACAGAAGGGTGGCGGTGGACGTAGTATACTTGGACAGAGGGGTGGCTGTGGATGTGGTAATACTTGGACAGAGGGGTGGCTGTGGACGTGGTATATACTTGGACAGAGGGGTGGCAGTGGATGTGGTATACTTGGACAGAGGGGTAGTGGTGGACGTGGTATACTTGGACAGAGGGGTGGCAGTGGACGTGGTGTACTTGGACAGAGGGGTAGGCAGTGGAGTGGTATACTTGGACAGAGGGGTGGCAGTGGACGTGGTATACTTGGACAGAGGGGTGGCAGTGGACGTGGTATACTTGGACACAGTTCCCCACACACGGGTAATGTGTAAGGTAAAGTCTACAGGCTGGAAAAATCTGAATGTAAATGGATAGAAAACTGGCTAAAAGATGGTATTCAGAGAGTAGTGGTTAATGATTCATACTCTGAATGGTCTGGGGGTGTCAGTGGTGCACCCCAGGTTCAGTGTTGTTAGTGGTGTACCCCAAGGTTCGGAGTTATTAGTGGTGTACCCCAGGGTTCAATGTTATTAGTGGGGTACCCCAGGGTTCAATGTTATTAGTGGGAGACCCCATGGTTCAGTGTTGGGACCCTTACTATTTAATATGTTTATAAACTATATCGGGTCTGGGATTACAAATCCCATCTCAGTCTATGCAGATGACACTAAGCTGTGCCGGGGAATAACGTCCTTACAGGATGTCCCCAACTTACAAGCCGACCTCAATGCTCTGTGTAATTGGGGGACTATGGGGCCAATGAGGGCTAATGTTGATACATGTAAAGTTATGAACTTGGGGGCTAAGAATATCCATCATACATACTAGGGGGGTATACCACACCCACCGCCACCCCTCTGTCCAAGTATACCTCATCCACTGTTAGATCCTTCTCCACCATCACCATGTATAATACATAAGGGGGGGATATGATCTCCATGTATAATACATAAGGGGGGATATGATCTCCATGTATAATACATAAGGGGGGATATGATCTCCATGTATAATACATAAGGGGGGATATGATCTCCATGTATAATACATAAGGGGGGATATGATCAACCATGTTATAATACATAAGGGGGGATATGATCTCCATGTATAATACATAAGGGGGGATATGATCACCATGTATAATACATAAGGGGGGATATGATCTCCATGTATAATACATAAGGGGGGATATGATCTCCATGTATAATACATAAGGGGGATATGATCTCCATGTATAATACATAAGGGGGGATATGATCTCCATGTATAATACATAAGGGGGGATATGATCTCCATGTATAATACATAAGGGGGATATGATCACCATGTATAATACATAAGGGGGATATGACTCCATGTATAATACATAAGGGGGGATATGATCTCCATGTATAATACATAAGGGGGGATATGATCACCATGTATAATACATAAGGGGGATATGATCACCATGTATAATACATAAGGGGGATATGATCTCCATGTATAATACATAAGGGGGGGATATGATCTCCATGTATAATACATAAGGGGGGATATGATTTTCCATGTATAATACATATGGGGGATATGATCTCCATGTATAATACATAAGGGGGGATATGATCTCCATGTATAATACATAAGGGGGATATGATCTCCATGTATAATACATAAGGGGGGATATGATCTCCATGTATAATACATAAGGGGGATATGATCTCCATGTATAATACATAAGGGGGATATGATCTCCATGTATAATACATAAGGGGGGATATGATCTCCATGTATAATACATAAGGGGGGATATGATCTCCATGTATAATACATAAGGGGGGATATGATCTCTATGTATAATACATAAGGGGGGATATGATCTCCATGTATAATACATAAGGGGGGATATGATCACCATGTATAATACATAAGGGGGGATATGATCTCCACGTATAATACATAAGGGGGGGATATGATCTCTATTAGAGATGAGCGAAGTATTCAAAAATTCGATTCGGCTGATTCGGCGAATTTCAGGAAGAAATTTGATTCGATGCGAATTTATTCGCTACGAAGATGACTTATAAAAAGGGTTTCTAGGCTTCAGAGAGCCTTTAAATTAGTGCAGAACACTGTACCTTTAATTTAAATGCCCTTGGAGATGAGGAAGGAAGGAGAAGGATGAGAAGAGAGGAGAAGGATGAGAAGAAGGAGAAGGAGAAGGATGAGAAGAAGGAGAAGGATGAGAAGAAGGAGAAGGAGAAGGATGAGAAGAAGGAGAAGGATGAGAAGATGGAGAAGGAGAAGGATGAGAAGAAGGAGAAGGAGAAGGATGAGAAGAAGGATGAGAAGAAGGAGAAGGATGAGAAGAAGGAGAAGGAGAAGGATGAGAAGAAGGAGAAGGATGAGAAGAAGGAGAAGGATGAGAAGAAGGATGAGAAGAAGGATGAGAAGAAGGAGAAGGATGAGAAGAAGGATGAGAAGAAGGAGAAGGATGAGAAGAAGGAGAAGGATGAGAAGAAGGAGAAGGAGAAGGATGAGAAGAAGGAGAAGGAGAAGGATGAGAAGAAGGAGAAGGATGAGAAGATGGAGAAGGAGAAGGATGAGAAGAAGGAGAAGGATGAGAAGAAGGAGAAGGAGAGAAGGAAGGAAAGAAGAGAAGAAGGATGAGAAGAAGGAGAAGGATGAGAAGAAGGAGAAGGATGAGAAGAAGGATGAGAAGAAGGAGAAGGAAGAAGGAGAAGGAGAAGAAGGATGAGAAGAAGGAGAAGGATGAGAAGAAGGAGAAGGATGAAGGAGAAGGAGAAAGGATGAGAAGAAGGAGAAGGATGAAGAAGAAGGAGAAGGATGAGAAGAAGGAGAAGGAGAAGGATGAGAAGAAGGAGAAGGAGAAGGATGAGAAGAAGGAGAAGGATGAGAAAAGAAGGAGAAGGATGAGAAGAAGGAGAAGGAGAAGAGAGAAGGAGAAGGATGAGAAGAAGGAGAAGGAGAAGGATGAGAAGATGGAGAAGGAGAAGGATGAGAAGAAGGATGAGAAGAAGGAGAAGGAGAAGGATGAGAAGAAGGAGGAAGAAGAGAAGGATGAGAAGAAGGAGAAGGATGAGAAGAAGGAGAAGGAGAAGGATGAGAAGAAGGAGAAGGATGAGAAGAAGGAGAAGGATGAGAAGAAGGATGAGAAGAAGGATGAGAAGAAGGAGAAGGATGAGAAGAAGGAGAAGGATGAGAAGAAGGATGAGAAGAAGGATGAGAAGAAGGAGAAGGATGAGAAGAAGGACAGTTCTGTGACAGTTTCTGTCTATTTTGACAGTTCTGGGACATTCACTCCATACAGCGGTTGAAACATTGTATCTATTTGTTTCCATAAATGGTTCCATTTATGGAAACAAATAGATACAATGTTTCAACCGCTGTATGGAGTGAGTGTCCCAGAACTGTCAGAAATAGATTATTTCTGACAGTTCTGGGACATTCACTGTTTCCATACAAAAATAAGAATAATTCCAAGCCGGCAAAAAGTGTATGTGCAGAGTTCCTCTATTCTGCAGATACACTTAGAGGAGCTTGCAGATACACTTTTTGCCGGCTTGGAATTATTCTTATTTTCATACCTACTTCTTCTCACATGTACAGCGGTTTGAAACATCTGTATCCTAAATGGAAACTAATAGATACAATGTTTCAAACGCTGTTCCTTCTGTCAGAGAACTGTCAGAAATAGCGGAGCTCACTGCAGGGACACTTTTGCCGGCTGATCGGGAAATATTCGATTCGCGCACCCGAAGTAGGCAAAATTTCGGAATCGAATATTTCCTGAAATTCGTATCGAATTCCGTTCGCCTGGTTCGATTTGCTCATCTCTAATCTCTATGTATAAATACATAAGGGGGGATATGATCTCCATGTATAATACATAAGGGGGGATATGATCTCCGTGTATAATACATAAGGGGGATATGATCTCCATGTATAATACATAAGGGGGATATGATCTCCATGTATAATACATAAGGGGGATATTATGATCTCCATGTATAATACATAAGGGGGGATATGATCTCCATGTATAATACATAAGGGGGGATATGATCTCCATGTATATAAAACATACATAAGGGGGATATGATCTCCATGTATAATACATAAGGGGGATATGATCTCCATGTATAATACATAAGGGGGATATGATCTCCATGTATAATACATAAGGGGGGATATGATCTCCATGTATAATACATAAGGGGGGATATGATCTCCATGTATAATACATAAGGGGTGATATGACAATCCATGTATAATACATAAGGGGGGATATGATCTGCATGTATAATACATAAGGGGGGATATGATCTCCATGTATAATACATAAGGGGGGATATGATCTCCATGTATAATACATAAGGGGGATATGATCTCCATGTATAATACATAAGGGGGGATATGATCTCCATGTATAATACATAAGGGGGGGATATGATCTCCATGTATAATACATAAGGGGGGATATGATCTCCATGTATAATACATAAGGGGGGATATGATCTCCATGTATAATACATAAGGGGGGATATGATCTCCGTGTATAATACATAAGGAGGGATATGATCTCCATGTATAATACATAAGGGGGATATGATCTCCATGTATAATACATAAGGGGGGATATGATCTCCATGTATAATACATAAGGGGGGGGATATGATCTCCATGTATAATACATAAGGGGGGATATGATCTCCATGTATAATACATCAGGGGGGATATGATCTCCATGTATAATAGATAAGGGGGGGATATGATCTCCATGTATATATACATCAGTGGTTCATATAGTGAACTCGGTGTAGTTATTCCCCCTGAGGTCATCACAGAGGACAAGGGGGCGCTCTTTACATCTGGAGGAAAACAAATGTGATCTCCAAACACGGAAAGGTTTCTTCACAGTAAGAGCTGTGAGAATGTGGAATAGACTCCCTCCAGAATTGCTAAACAATATGGTAGTGTGACAAGAACACCCCCTACCTAAAAAAGAAGGTTACTAGATGATCCACGCGGAGTAATATGAATTCAAAAGAATTTTTAACAATACTTTATTTGATCACATAGATCATAGGGAGGTTAACATAAGCACGGTGTACATATGAAAAAAATAAAATCATGTTAAAAAACACTTAGCGTCTTCAATTTAGGGTCATCTTAGCAAATAGAGCACCATATAAGGCAGAGTTGTGTAATGATGCGATAGTTATCCTGGATTTCCGTGGGTTTCCCACTTAAATTCGAGTAAACCATGTGTTCAACAGAT